CACGCGATATTTTTTTATAAATTTTATATACTTACCTGTGATATACTTACCTTCTTTATACTTACCTCTCGTAGCTTTTTTTTTTTTTTTATCGTTTTTTCAACAGTTTACTTAAATCTAATTATACTTACCTTTTTTATACTTACCTTTTTCTGTTGCATCTTTGTAGTTTATTGTGGTATATAGCAGGTGTCTCACGTAACTTTATATTTGAAATATTTGGTTTGTTTTTGATAATATTAAAAAATACTTCTAATAAAAATTAATTTGTTTCAAGGAGGCTATATTTTATTTTTTTGTAGCTTAACGCATAAAGAATATATGACAATCAACTTTGTTTTTTGAAATGGAATAATATATCTTTCAATAATAAGTGAATGCATCTTAAAATTTTCTATAAAAAATTATCAAACTATATAAGTCGAGAAATTCTTAGTTCATGAAATATTCAATAATGATTAAATATTCCCGAAACTATTAATTTTTGTCTAATAATAGTTCGATAATTTTTTTATAACATATATAGAATTATAATAGAATATAACATATAATTGCATTCACTTATACATTAAAAAATATATTATCCTATTTAAAAAAATAAATTTGAAGTCATTCATCTTTTGTCTAAACTATTTTTTAATAATCACAAAAACAAACGAAATATTCCAAATGATAAAGTTACATGGAAAACCCGATATATCCTAGCAGCACAGGTAATCATCTGAAATTAATTAAAATTAAATGAATATTTAGTAACGAATAGTTCAAATAAAAAATGTAAAATGTAAAAATATTTCATATGAGCATGGCATAATCCATATACCATGCTCTTATGATCTTAAAATTCTTTATTTTATCCTTTCTTAATCCACAAGAAAAAACTTATATTAATTAAAAATAACGTTACCTCTGCAATGACCAATCGCGCCGATTCCACTCGAATTAGATCCGTGAATCGATCGATTTCGAACGGCAAGCCGATCCTTTGAAGCGGTGCCGTCGATTTTCGGATTCCAACGGTGGAATGAATGCCTCTGGACGGCGAATAACACCGGTGGCCTCCGCTAGACACCCACTGGGAGTTATTAAACGATCTACAATGCTTGTTGCCTCGTCACCCATCTCCACAGCATCTTCAGAAGCCGTAATCAAATTCGTCGGCCGATAATTCGACGCTCGGCCCGCGGTGAAACGCAGACCAATCGTTTCGGCCAGTCTCGCTGGTCACGTTCCACCCGTCCTCTATTGTTGGACCCTGCGAAAATGAGCTTCTGTTTCTGGTACGAGGCAACACCGCGTAATCGTCTTGGTAATACCGATAGCCGATCAGAGGAATCATCGCTGCTAAATTAACGGAGGATCACCGCTGGAGATCGCCGATTGTTTAACCGGTCGCGCGATCGACACTCTGGAATCGAAAGATTGGATCGATAACGAAGACTCGCGTGCGCACTCGTGCATTTATTAAACTGAACAATATTTTTCTCTAATATTTTTTAAGATCGAAAAATATTTTCTTTTTTGTAACAATTAAAATTATCGAATAACGAATAATGGATAAGATAATGTTAATAACTAATTCTTTTCTTAAAATCTTTCGAAAAGATATTTGACACTTTGTTAGAATAGAGAAGAATGCACAAAGTTTTGTATCCAACTTAAAGAAAAGAAAAAAAAAATAGAACTTCAAAAGAGAAAAATAAATTAATCGTTTCCGTTCGATCGATCCTCGAGAGTGTCAGTCAGCTTCCGGCGGCTCGAGCGCAGCCTGGAACCGCTATAGCATACGGTGCAAGCAGTACAGGTGGTCTTGCCGGCCAATTTCCAAGCCGGAATCTCCGACAATCGAGTATCGTTAAACGCTGGATTCGATCGTCATCCTACGAGTTTCTTTAGCGCGGCCTCGTTTCGTGCTCCTCCCTTCGCCTATAATGACAGCCACCCCCTTCTCCATCTCTTTCTCTCTCTCTGTCTCTCTTTCTCTCCTCCCTCTCCTCTCCATCCCTCCTCGCCTCGATCCTTTTCTACCGTCTCGTTCATTCTCTTCTCGCTCGGAGCCGATCGTGACTCTGCGCTACGATTGTTCGACGTTCGATCGCTCCCAGGTGGCCGACCACTACAAAACGGATACGCGTTTACGCGATTACATCGACGAAAGAAAGGAAGACACCGAGACCAAGGAGGAGAAAGTTCCCATTCCGCGTTCCCTCCAAGGCGCGGTTCTTCTGTTCTTCGCGAGAGAGAGAGAGAGAGAGAGAGAGAGAAAAGGAGGAAGGGAGGAGGAGAGAGGGAGAGGGAGAGGGAGAGGTCCTTTTTCCAGCCGCTAATGGAACAGGGGGAGAGGAGATGGGTAGCGAGAAAATGGTAGAACGATGGAAGGTTTTGTTGCAAGCGCCGTGGTGAAAATTATTCTCGGGAGGAAGAACTAATTTCTTTGTGTCGTTTAGAGTCGTTTGTTCGAGAGGATCGAGAATTTGTAAGAAAACTGGGTGAGATATTCCCGTTGAGGGAGGTTTTATTTATTTTTTTCTTTTTTTTTCTCAGAGGAGAAAATATTGGAATTGGGATCGGGTTGAGATGTTGGAAAGTGATTCTTTTTTGAAAAGGGTCTGATCCGGTTAAAAGTAATGGGCAAAGTAAGGAAGGTTGTATTGGTTGAGGGTTGAAAACAATGTTTAATGGGAGAAATGATACTTCGAGAAAGAATCATTAAAATTTGAATTTGAAAGGAAGTTGTTGGTTTCTTTGGAAGTTGAATGGGACGAGAAAGAAAGAGTAGGAAAATTGTACTCGATTGGAAAAATAGTAGTCTTCGTGTGTTGGAGGATGATAAAACTAGGGGATAGGGGAAGAAGCGTTTCGAATTCGATGAATGACGATTCATAACTGTTATCTGGATCCCACAGATCGGCTCAGCCGTTGATATGTGGTTGGATATAACGAAACAAAAGTTTGGTTTTACGAGCTGTTCTTTTCACGAAAGGGGTTGCTTTCATAATCAAAAAAAAGAAAAAAAAAGTTTATAGAATCATTTTGAAAAGATATAGAATTTTCATCGCATGAATTATGCACGCGTTTCTTTTTTTTTTTTTCTTTTTTGGAAGCTATAATGCAGAGCGAACCTTTTTTTTATTAATCTTATTCTACCAAGAATTTTAAAATATATACATAAACAGGACAGTTTTTATCCTTTGATTTTAACTTTATCTTCTAATTTTATAAATCTCATTTTCATTATACGTTATTCCGGATTAACTAAGTCAGTTTGATGGACAGTCACGTGCGAGGCATCAATCCCTCTTTCCACTCCTTCATCCCTCGGCGAAACGATCCTTCGAGGATGACTCATTGCGTCGCGATGTCGATTCGTGGTTAATCGACTCGACAATCGATCGTTTACGCGACAGAACGATCAATAATCGAGTCGACAATTTAAAAAGAAAAAAAAAAAAGAAAAAAACAAAAAATGTAAAAATTTTCATTGAAATTTTGATAAAAATACGCGAAAATGATTTATTCTCTATCATAATATAGCGACTATATAAGTTAAAAATATTAATTCAAAAAGTAATTTTGAAAAATCAAAAAATATAAAATTTTCTAAATAAAATCTCCCTTTCTTCATTTTTTAAATTTCCCTCGTGAATTGTATAAACCGCGTCTTCTATCACTCCAATTTTCTCGAGGCCTGTTAATCCGCCTGTTGGAATAACGCGAGACTTCCACTGATGCTAAAAAAAAAAGGATTAATCTGAACGATTAATAAAATTCCACGATCGAAATTTCTCTCTCTCTCTCTCTCTCTCTTTTTATCGAGGCATTAATTTCCATTTAAATGGATACCGAATTAAGATACGAGGGCCGAAAGTACGAAAGGAAACAGAGGAGAATGGAGAGACCGACTTGAAGAGACCTTCGCTCGCGTGGAATGCAGCTGCACAATGCAACAGCATCGATACTGTGTTGTACACAATCTTGGATCGGTATCGAATGCGATCCAAGTGTGTGGAACAGGGCCCACCTAACAGGCGATAGATTTCGCCCGATACGATCGATGGAATTAATTCTCGTTCCCGAGGAGAATGATACCTGTCCATGCTCAAGAGATCAAAATTCCTCTGAATGTGAATTTTTCTTCGATTAAACGAATTCTTTTTACTTAATATGGCTAACTTGAATAATATCAAATATACGTATATCGATGTAAAGTATAATATCGATGCGTGTCGTTTAATTTCATATTGTATATTTGTATATACGTATATTTTTTATATATGTAATAAACATTGATATTCCAAACATATTTAATTTTTAATTATTTCCTCCCAATTACTGCAATTTACGTTCCTTACACTTTTTCATTTCCTTCTTCCCTCCCAAATGCAACAGCTCTCACTTACTACTAAAAATTATATTTAATCTTAATAAATTTCAATAATTAAGGGGCCTTCCCTTAATAATTAAAGAAAGAAAAAGTACATACCTCGTAAATTTCTTATCTAAATATATATTCTCTTAAAGCGATAATGATAATGAACCTTCTTAAACCTCCTCAACAATCGTTTTAATTAATTTAATTTCCGCCCTGTGGAAATTATCATCGTGCCACAATCTTTCTCGAAAAAGAACACACTAATGTTCTCTTGAAGGGGAGGAGGGAAAAGGGAGGAAAGGAAAGGAAAGAAATGGTCGCGAGGCGGAAAATCGTATCGCGTGATAAAGAAAAAGGCGCGGGATAAAAGAAGACGCTGGAAGGCGTCCACGTATGAGCATCCGTGCAGCGGGAGGCCACGACCAGGTGTACGGGTGTGAATAGACCACCGGCTAATTTACATACACCGAAACCGACGCGCAACCTTCTCGATGACCTGGAATTCCCGGCAACAAAGCTTCTTCGTTTTATCCGGCGGGTGTATCTTGCCAGCGTCGAAAAAAAAAAAGAAAAAAGAAAAAAAAAAGGAATTCTACTACCTGTTAGCTTCAATGAGAGAGCAAGGAGGGAGGAGGCAACAAGTTCCTCTTTACTCTCTCTCTCTCTCTCTCTTTCTCTTTCTCTTTCTCTCTCTGTCGTATCAAATTCTTATACACGATAATTTTCCAAGCAAGATTTATGCTCTTTATTACACTTTTTTTCGAAGTAAAACTCTTCTTTCGAACGAGATCAAAATTTGGCAAATTTAATCGTGGATCTATTTCGATTATTCAAAGTTTACAATTTTGAGTCGAGGAAAATCTTCGGTTCAAAAAAATTCGGACAAATAATTGTAATTGTATATCGAAATTACGAAATCAAAAACCTTCCAGAATTTTGGAAATTTGTAGCTCACGAATTGAGATCTTCGTTTAAGAAATTAACTTGAACACCCTCGATTAACGAATTCCTTGCTTTGCGGATATCATCGACGGTTCACGGGCGGCAAAGCGCGCTTACGCTTGCAAATGTTTGCACAGTTACGAGGCGCGGTTACAGGGAACAGGAACGATTGACTCGCATAAACAACCGAGGGAGGAAGGATCGGCCGGCTGCTCGAAATAATTGCAGGGCAAACAATCCGCCGGCCGGCTTGCTTTGGACCGAGATTAGGCGATAATTCGTCGAGTATGCCTAGGGAATTATTACGGCACCGTGCGGATATCTAGTCGTTTCCCGCCTGGTTGTTTAGGGAATTAAGTGGTGCGCCAATCGGATCTTTTTGAACTGGGTTAATCGCGTTCGAGTGGATTGCGTAGATTATTCGAGATAAAGAGTGAAAAATGTGATGTGAAAAATCGACGATTCTTGATTTTTGCGTGAAAGTAGAACAGGCAAGGTTTTATGATTTTACTTAGCAAGTGTAGATTGAAATATTCGATTAGATTGAATGGACGAGAGAACAGGGACGTGTTTGTGTCCAAGATGTGAAAAGGATGGTCTTTAGATAGAAGGAAAAGGATTCTGTCTTTGATACGAGAGATAAAAGAAGTTTCGTATATAATTTTAATGTGCCTTTGAATACTGTTTATATTTCTTCAGAGATCGAGTGTTTACAGAATGTTTGAATCTACATTTTCCATATCAAGGAGGGAAGGGAAGGGACTCTACTCTCATGAAATCTTCACATTTGCATAATTTTCAACGCCAAAGTTGAAACGAGGAAATCTTAATTACCGGCAAATGGTCTCTTCCAAGATTTCTTTTACAAAAATCCTCCACCTAATTAAGGATGGATTTCACTTGCTTACGCTATCTCGTTATTCCACTCCTTTTCACCGCATCGATTAAAAAATCAGAGAAAAAAGGAAAGAGGAGAAAAAGGGAGAGAGAGAGAGAGAGAGAGAGAAAGAGAGAAAAAAAGAGAACGAGGTCTTTGCATAAGAACCCGACCTACTCTATTTTATACAGGGTGATTCAGGGTTGAATGCATGCTCGAAAACTTCAGGGGATGGATCTACGAATAATCAGATATTTAGAAATCAATTTTAAAAAGTTAACAGTTTTAAGTAACAAATTTAGAAATTCGAAGAAATTAGAAATTCCTGCGATTGTAGAATTAAAGAAAAATCAAAGAAGGACAACAATTCAGAACAACAATATTGAATATCAGACAATCTCAAAATTATGGACCACCCTATACACCTCGTTTCTAAAATCTGCCGATGTAATTTCTGCCGGGTGCGTGTCGCGCGAGAGGCGACGGGGAGAAAAACCAAAGGAGCGGAATAAGGTGGGAAGGAAAAGGAGAAGCCCGATTCTCGAGTGTTGGATGGCGGAACGACGAGGCCGCGTTCGTGAACAATGATGAACGATTAATTATAGAGGGGGCGGGATCGTGATCGAATCGGTTGTGTAAAATGCGCATTCGAGCCACCGCGAAGCGCCAATCAAGGAATTACGCGAGCAAAAGGGGCGCCGCTTTGTTAAATCGCGGTTGACGACTCGTTTCTGGTAGGGTGATGATTGAAAATACTTTGCCAATGGGCTTGCCAAGCCTCGTCGATCCTCGAGAAACGCTCTATCGACGTAGGTCAGGTTTCTCGGTACTCGTGACGAAGAGAAGAAGATTGATTCGACTCGATGAAATGTTGGTTGGGGGTGGTTAAGATGATTTGCGTGGATGTTTGGAAATTATTCAATTTTAATAACTTTATAATAGGCAAATTGACGGGGTATATCGTGAAGATAAAGTAAGTGAATGATGTACGAATCTTGGAAAGGTAAAGTCTAATCTAATTACAAAGTAGCTTTGGATTGAATCTGGTTTGACTTGGTTTGATGGTGTGATGAAAGAGGATGGTAAATGCAGAATGGTATATTGATTTTTTTGAGTTATTCATAATTAGTAATTGTGTGTAAGTTTTGGGTTGGATCTGGTTTGACTTCGTTTGATATAAGATGAAAGTGAAAATTACAAAGTAGCTTTGGATTGGATCTAGTTTGATTTGGTTTGATAGTGTGATGAAAGAAGATAGTAATGCAGAATGGTATATTGATTTTTTTGAGTTATTCATAATTAGTAATTGTGTGTAAGTTTTGGGTTGGATCTGGTTTGACTTCGTTTGATATAAGATGAAAGTGAAAATAACAAAGTAGCTTTGGATTGGATCTAGTTTGATTTGGTTTGATAGTGTGATGAAAGAAGATAGTAATGCAGAATGGTATATTGATTTTTTTGAGTTATTCATAATTAGTAATTGTGTGTAAGTTTTGGGTTGGATCTGGTTTGACTTCGTTTGACTTCGTTTGATATAAAATGAAAGTGAAAATTTTTATAAATTATTGGATTATATAAAGGTAAAGTTTAATTACAAAGTACCTTTGGATTGGATCCGGTTTGATTTGGTTTGACGAAAGAGGATGATAAATTCAGAATGTTATATTAATTTTTTTAAGTTTAACTCTTTGTAGTATCATTTCAAATCACCACAAATTTGTCTTTCGAGTAACACACCTATTTCCTCAACGATTCCAAACGATAACTTAAAGTCAACTATTTATATACAAATACAAATTTAAATTTTTCTAAAATACCTCATAACTACCTAAAATTAAAAAATAAAGAGAAATAAAACGTTAATAATCTCAAATATTTAAAGAACGTTGATACATTATAAATATCCCTGTGATTACCTCCATTCCCTTCCACATTTTCCACGTTGGAAGGTTGAGCCCCGATCTAACGCGATACCACTTGAACCATCCATTCCCAACGTCTCCCTTTTCATTGCCACGCGATCTCGAAAGTAATTAATCCTTTTAGAAGGGAAGTGAAACGATTCGACGAGCGATCCTCGGTTTTATGAAACGCATCGCGTTGAGGTAAAATCGTCGACCGGAAGTAGACGTGCGTCGACTTGGCTACGGTGAAGAGGATCACGAGGAGAAGGGAGAAGGAGGAGGAGGAAGAGGAGGAGGAGGAAGAGGAGGAGGAGGAGGAAGAGGAACCTCTTCGAGGCTCGAAATTCCAACTGCTAAGCTACGCTAATGAAGCCGTGAGGTGGTGGACGGCCGATTTACATTCCGGTTAAGTGATTTAAGGCAAACCGGCGAAAGCCACTCGTTCGGATCTCGTAGATTGCTCGTCGCTCTATAATGAATTTAATGAGAAAACGTCTGTGGGACCGCCTTTTGGTATCTGGAATAGCGGAAACGCGACCTCCTGTCGCTTCTCGTCGATCCGCGCGACTGACAGCACGTATAATTAGTAGTTAAATTATTCGACGAGTTCGGTAGCCGATTTCTAAGCAATCAACCCCAATATACCTGTTTCTTTCATCCATGATTTTTTTCATACATTTCGTTTGGACAATTCGTTTGGAAATGGGATGCACGATGTTCTTCCGATTGTATTATAAAAATTAATGTGTATTAAATTTCTTCGGTTGAAATCTCGTTTCATCTGAAATATTTATTTTAATTAGATATATTTACAAACAAAAGGATAATAATTAATTCTTTGCGTTTATGATTTAAAAGATATTAAGTAATCGTATTAAAATTCTATTAAAAAAAAAAATTCTAGACCTAAAATGAAATACCTTTTTCCATAAAAATTTCTCTCGTGCGCACATCCCCCCTGACTTCAAACCTGGAGGATTCCTCCACGAGAGATGAAGACCTCCTGGCAAGCGGCCCACGAAGCGGCTCACGATCAAGAGAGAGGAAAAAAAAAAAAAAAAACACATCCTTTTCATTCCCCCGCGAAACAAAAACTCTCCCTCTCACACCTTCGCTCTCCCTTAACAACACCTTACACGGTCCATTTAAAAGTGAAACGAGGAACAAAAGGCCTTTAGAGATGTAAGGAACGGGGGGTCCCTTCGATCGAGTCCCGATGGATCGGGTTGATCCATCATCATCGCCGTTCGAAAGAATCAGAAAAGCCACAAAAAACGTTGGATCGCTTTCGATCCAAATCGAGGGATAACCG